CCCTGCCACTACTGGGGGCTTGTCCCCCCATGCTGGGGGGCTATCTTGCTGTCCCTTAATATTTTTGGGAGCACGTGGTGCCCCACAAGGCCCGAGGGCAGGGACACAGCACGCTGCCCCGCAGAACATCTTCCTCCTGGGTGACTTCAATGCTGACTGCTCCTACGTGACCAGCGCGCAGTGGCCGTCCATCCGCCTGCACTCCCTTGATGCCTGCGAGTGGCTCATCCCCGATAGCACCGACACCACCGTCAGCGACACCGACTGCGCCTACGACCGGTGGGTGCTGCGTCAGGGGAGGGTGCTGGTGTGGGGGGTGCTCCAGGCACTAACACCCCCATCATGCCCCGGCAGCATCGTTGCCTGCGGCACCGCACTGCGCCGGGACATCGAGCCTGGCTCTGCCACCATCAACAACTTCCAGAAGACCTTCAACCTCCAGAGCAAGGACGTGAGTGAGGGCCGGGCACATAAGCCTGCTGGCACTGGGATCCAACCCACCTCGCCTCCTGGGAGCACGGGTGGGCTCCCTGTTCCCAACGGTGCACCTGAGGGTGGCCTGACCCCAACCCCTGCACTGATGCAACCCCTCCCAGCTTGAGCATTTTGGGCTATGCTCTGAATTTTGGGGTTGGAGTGTTGGGGTCACAGCCACCCATGACACTGATGCAGGTCGGGACAAGCTCAGCCACCTCTCTGCTCTCCCCCCATTCACAGGCTTTGGCTGTCAGCGACCATTTCCCAGTGGAGGTGACCCTGAAATCCCGTTGAGCCCATCCCCATGCTGGCTACCAGGACACTCCAGCACACACCTGCATCCCTGACAGGAGCCAATGCACCACCAGTGCCAGCCAAGCTGCCTGCTATCTCTGCAAGGATCTCTTCAGGGTCTTGTGCGAGTGGGATGCTCTCTGTTTCCATTAAAGAATGAGCTTTTCCAGCCCCTGCAGCTCTGGAGGGGGAGGCCCTTCAGTCCCCCCAGCAACCCCCTGTGCCCAAGCTGACTGTCCCCCTGCCAGGGGCAGCCCCACTGGGGCTAGAGCCAGGGAGGTCCCTGGGTCTGGAAGTCCCCTCCTGCTATTGAGAGATCCAGACTCACAGAGTGACAAGTGCTGCTCCCCTATGAGCTGCTGGCAGCAAAACCAGAGACACTGGGAGTCTCTGGGCAGGATTCAGGCTCCTTGCCGGGATGCAGGATGCTCTGCTGACAGCCTGTGGAGCCTCATCCCGCTGGAGCCTGCCTGGATGTGGGGCAGCTGACAGGGTGCTGACAGCGAGGGTGGGGGGAAGCAGAGGACATGAGTCAGTCCCCAGGGGATTCGGTGCCTCCTGGGGGGGTTTCGGTGCCAGCACAGCACTGAGGGACACCACACTCATCCCGTGACTGGGCGTGAGGATGAGAAACCCAGCAATGCATGGGAGAGCCCAGCGAGCCCAGGCATGAGCAGCCATTGCCTCCCTGCCTGCCCTGCTGCTGGCACCCCGGCACAGCCAGCACCCCGGCACAGCCGCCTGCTCCCTCAGCAGGGTGATGCCATGTGCCAGCATGAAGGATGACAGCTCCACTGGGGCTGCTTTGGATCACCAATAGGGATGCTTTAGGTGACAACTGGGGCTGTTCTGGATGACCACCGGGGCTGCTGCTGTGGTTTTCAGGCATCCCCTCTTGCCGAGGCTCATCGCCTCTGTTCAGCCTGCCTGACCAGACACCCCACAATTTCCTCCTCTCCCCTCTAATTACACCATCTGAATCACGCACATTAAGGCCATTGCTCTTCACCACCCTCTTGGCCGCTGTGGCCCTTGCTGTGACCTCGGGGACCACTCTATCTGCAGCACCCCAAGCCCCATGCACCCACCCAGCCCTGCTGAGATGCTCCAGCACCGCCACACCTCTCCGGACACCCTGTAGTGTGTCAGCACAGGGGTGGCTGTGCTGGCCCCACCCTGCTACCCCATGAGGTTTGGGTTTCCCAATGTAGGAAGGAGCTCAAAGCCATGCCAAAAACCCCACGGGGGTGTCCGACTCATCCTGCTTTGCCGGCACCTCCGCTGGGAATAAAGCCGCCCATCCTGCTGCTGGGAGAGCAGAGGTGTCACGCACTTGGCAAGGTAAGGACGGATCCGGGTTCACCTTCAGCCGTGAACCAGGAGGGAGTGGGATGAGCTGGGATGAGGAGTTGCCCTCTTACCTATCAAGGCTCTGATCGGGTTTAAGGATGTGGAGCAGCCTGGGGTGCTGGTGGTGGAGGCTGGTGGGTGATGGAGATATCCTGGTGGGAGCAGAGCTAGGTCATCCCAGGGGCTGGCAGAGGCACTGCTGGGTGGATTCATGGAGGCAGGACAGGAGTCAGCTTCTCCTGGGACCAGCTCTTGCCAGCTCCGTGGGCTGCTCCCGGCAGTACCCACCATGGCACACTGTGTGCCAGGACTTAGGAAGAACCTACATGGTTGTTTTTTTTCTATTCCCAAATCCAAGCAGTTTTCAAAGTCTGGCTCCCATCACTGCATCCCTGCTCAGCATTGCTCTCAGCAGGATGGGAACCACGGTGCTGGCACTGTCCCTTCTGGCTGTGGCTCTCCCATGCCTGGCCACTGCCACGCTGCGCATTGGTGCCTTCAACATCCAGGCATTCGGTGACACCAAGATGTCCAACAAGGAAGTGGCAGGCATCATCATAAGCGTGAGTGCAGCCAGTGCCATGCAGAGACAGGCTGTATGCTGGGGTGGACCCGAACTGTGGCTCCTGTGCCAGGAACACATAGGGATGTGCCATCCATGGCTCCTGTGCCATGGGCATGGGATGGCATCCCAGCGCTGGGGATGCCCTGGGTGGATGAAGACTTGGTGGGGACCAAGGTGGGGTGTCAGGCACACACCTTGCATGAGGGACATGCAGGACCCTATGGTGCTGCTCCCAGCACCATGACAGGGTGCCTGGCAGCAGATGGGTGGGAGGTGGTGTCCCTGAGCCCTCGGCAGGCTGCCTCCCACCATCACTGTCCCTCCTGGTCCCGCAGATCCTGAGCCGCTATGATGTGGTGCTGGTGCAGGAGGTGCGCGACTCCGACCTCAGCGCCGTCACCGAGCTCATGGAGCAGCTCAACAGGTACGAGCAGGGCTGGGGCTGGGGCACCTGGCTGAGACATCAGCATTAGCAGGGAAAGCCAAGCTGCTTGAGCAATAGAGGGCAACAAGAGTCATCCACAGGCAGAGGGTTTGTTTCTGGAAAAGAGAATGGGAGGAAAGTACTGGGGCTGAAGCTTGGAGCAGGCTGAAGCTTTGAAAAAGCCACCGGGAATAATCCGGGCAGGAGGGGGGCGGAAGAAGAGGGATACAAGTGGTACAAACCCCCTCTGAAAGCTGCCATTCCACTGGAGCACACAGGATGGAAAGGAACTGGCAAACAGTCTCCAAAATCCAGAAGGGCAGGGCAGAGGTGAGATGGAGGGTGAAGGAGGCAGAGGCAGACAGCCCCCTGTGCCCAAACACCCTGTGAGTGACAGGGGGACCCCGGATGGACCCAGTAGCAGATGATGCTCTGAAATGAGTGGCTCAGGCACCCCAGGAGGAAAAGGGGCTTCTGGGGTGGGCTAAAAGTGGCCATGGCAGCACAACAGCCCCTCACCAGCTGGGTGCTGACCCAGCTTTGGGTGCGGGCAGGGGCTGGGTCTGGGTGGAGGCTGCTGCTGTCTTCTTGTGCTCCTGAGCAAGTACACCCAGCCTGCACCCTCGCCCCTCCAGTGTCCCCTCCAGCACGGCCATACAGCAGGTGGGGCAGGGAGGGTGATGCCAGGCTCTGCACAGCCTTGGGCTGCTCATTGACCTAATTTAGCTTTGCTGCACGTGAAGGTGAGGAGCGTCCCTATGGAGCCACCCCATGTCCTGCCATGGCCCAGGTGGTGTGGACAACAGGGTGGCTTGGAGCCCCTCCGCCCATGTCCCCTCATGGACCGCACCTCATGGACGGGGCCCAGGGGTCCAGAAGAATAGCACAGCAGGACTGTCTGGTGCCAATCCCACGGCCACACAGCCCCTGGCTGTGCTGAGACTACCCCAGCGTGGTATCAGACATGTCAATGGTGGCACCCATGTAACATCCTGCCCTTGCTTCTCCACAGCGCATCCATGTCCACATATGACTATGAAATCAGCAGCCCCCTGGGACGGGACAACTACAAGGAGATGTACCTCTTCATCTACAGGTAATGGGGTTGGGCGTGCTGCCACCTGCCTGCAGCACTGTGGGGCCACTGACACCATGGAGGGGACATAGGCACCATGCCGAGTCCCAGGGTCACCATCCCTTTGGTCCTGCAGGACAGACGTCATGTCTGTGGTGGACACCTACCAATATGAGGATCCTCAGGATGTCTTCAGCCGGGAGCCGTTCATCCTAAGGGTCTCAGCGCCCAACACCAGTAAGCAGGAAGACAAGTGTCCCCGGATGGTGGCACGGGGTGGCCATGGAGCTGACATCTCTCTTCCCCAACAGAGGTGCAGGACTTTGTCCTGGTGCCACTGCACTCAGCCCCACATGATGCTGTTGCCGAGATCGATGCTCTCTACGATGTCTACCTGGCCATAGTCAACAAGTGGGGTACTGATGTGAGTGGCACTGGGGATAGCACCTGGGGTGGGCACTGAGCCCTGGGGATCATTCAACCCATGCTGGGCCCCTGCTCTAAGGCAGGTGGTGGGATGCTGCTGTTGCTGGCAGCCCCATTCCCCAGCCGCCCTGTGCCCCTCATCTCCTTGCTACAGAACATCATGTTCCTGGGGGACTTCAACGCCGACTGCGCCTATGTCCAGCGCAGCGACTGGTCATCCATCCGCCTGCGCACCAGTGACATCTTCAAGTGGCTGCTCCCAGATGGCACCGACACCACCGTGGGGAGGTCAGACTGTGCCTATGACAGGTGAGTGCTGCCATGACACTGCTGGCTCCCCCCGGCACCCCCTGCCTGTCCCACACCACCCTGAGTGTGGGGACAGGAGCAGGACCCACCACCCGTGTTCCCCTGGCAGGATCGTGGTGTGCGGTGCCAAACTGAAGAGAAGCATCGTGCCCAATTCAGCTGGTATCTACAACTTCCAGCGTGCTTTCCAGCTGGAGCAGGAGGAGGTGAGCCAGGCTCACAAACTCAGGGCTCAAACAGGCACCAGGGCTAAGCTGCCCTGGGTGGCACCAGCTGTGGGGCTGCTGACATCTAGCAGCGATTAGGCAGCTCAGTGCAGTCATGTACCTGCTGCATTTAAGGATCAGCTCAAAACTGCAGCTGAAGCAGCTCCAGCAGCAGCATGAGCTGGCTCTGGTGTGTGTGTCCCTGCCCAGTGCCTGCATGCTGGGATGCCAACACAGTCCCTGTGTAAGGCATGTGGGAGTTCAGGGTGACAAGGGACCTGTGGGTGGAAACAGGAGTGGGGATTTGTCTGTCCCTGGGGGGAAGAGATGAGGCACAGAGGGTTTTACATGGCCTTTCATGGGCAGGCACAGGCAGGACTCCAGGGCAGGGGACACTCCAGGCCAATCTTCAGCCACCCATAGCTGGCACAGGGGTCCCAAGCAAGATACAGGGGTCTCAGAGGGCAGATACTCCCCCACCAGTGCCTGCCCCGGGTCATCTCCGTAAGAGGTGCAAAACTGGAGCCTTGTGTGTTGAGTGTCGGGTTGGAGACATCATGTCCCCCTCCGTCAGGCAGGTTCTGGAAGGGCAATCACAGCACCCTGCCAGTCCCACCAGCACGGTGAGGGGCTTGCCAAACCCTTGCATTACACCTTCCCACTTCTCACCCTCCTCCAGGCCCTGGCAGTCAGTGACCACTACCCAGTTGAGGTGAAGCTGACAGCTTGAGTTGTCCTGCAGCCTCAGACCACGATCCAGCTCCAGCTCCCACCACCAATCCTGTGAAGCCACTCTCTGCAGCCCCATCCACCATTCCTGTACAAGGGCTCCAGGTCCTGGTCCAGAGAAGGGTCTCAGTCAGTCACCAGCCGTGCTCAGACCCCTCAGCCCACCATGGACCAGAGCCTGGGGACAGGCCACCAGCCAGGAAGTGGTGACCAGCGACAGGCTGGGAATGAAGCATCCATCTCCTACTTCATTGCAGACTTTATTGACAAATCTCATTTCACAATTAACTGTTGGATAGGAGGGAGGACATCCAAGGACCAGTGGGCTCAGGCCACAGTGGCGTCAAGACCCTCTCCCTGTCTGTTCCTTAGAGAGCTGAGCAGACAGCTCTCCCGCTCTCAGGAAAGGCAGCAGTGGTGTCAGGCACTCTATGGGGACTAAAGAGGCAGCTGGGGCGGCCATGGGAGCAGGTAGCCCATCACCAGTTGCTGACACTGCAGGCAACTTCACTGTGAAGTCTATAGCTACTGCAGTGTTTCAAGCTCCTAAGACCGGGCCCTGGGTGGCTGGCTCCTCAACTCTTCTTCTTCTTCAGCATCTCCATGTACATGTGAAGTGACTTCTGGATGGACTCTTTTGAGACAAAGCTGGTGAAGTTCTTAATGTCTTCCTCCCGGTGAGCTACCAGGCGGTCCAACAATGTCTTCCTCATCATGGACTTGGTGATCTGACGGGCATGGTCTGCAGAGGAGAGGAAGGATGAGGAATGTGCATGGTCCTCACCCTGACCAACTCTCAGCCACTGCCACCCCATGCAGGTGCTTCCAAATGAGGAGGTACTGCTCAATAAAGGGCTCCTTAGACCAGCAGGGAAAGGTGTAAGAAAACCCCACCGGCTGGAAGCTGAACTGGATAAATTCTCATACAATAAATCATGATCTGTACTGCTGAAACCACTGATCCACTGGGACAGATGTCAAAAAGCTGTGCAGCGCCTTCTCTTTGCACTCTCCAGAGCCTAGCCCCCATCCCAATACACAACACCAGGCTCAGGACAGCAGTAACCAAACAAATTTTCTGCTACTTGAAACTGCTCTGGCTTTAAGTTCCCCCGACCCAAACCCTTCAGCCTCTGCCAAGACAGTCTGCCCATGCCAAACATGCTGTACAGAAGCCAGCAGCTCTGTCCCCTTGCGCTCATCCCAACAGCAGGCTCTGGGCCTGTGCCATTCCATATAAATCCGTGGATGCTGCTAGAGCAGTGGTGGCTGCTGGAGCTGACCAAGGCCTCAAGCACCCATCTGCTCACACACACACAGAGCCACGTCCAGTGATGCAGCAGCACATCTGTGGCACAGATGTTGCACGTGTGCTCTCACTGTGCTTCAACCATGATGGTGAAGAAATCACCAACCTGCCATGCACTGGGAACCCTTAATTGCTCCAGTTCCCGTGTGCTACAGACACCTTCACCCGGGCAGACTCCTCCTGCTCTGAGTTACGGCTCTGGGGAAGGATCTACATGGTGCCTACTGCAAGTCAGGAGAGAGCCAAGATGTGCTCTCCACTCTTTGGGGCTCAGGTGCCACTTTAACACCAGCAAGGCAGGGGAGAGAGCTGCTTAGGGACCCTCTTCCAAGGCTGGGACACAAAGTGACAGTCCTGGGATCACTCTTTCTGTGCAGATTCCTTTCATCCAGATTCCTACAGGAAAAGTAGTCGAGGGGTGCTGCACAGCTGCACCTCCCTGCAGCAGTCAGGAGGTGGCACGGGATGGGATAGCTCACACCTAGCCCTGGCCACAAGGAGCCCTCTCCCAGCCCAGGAACCCTGTGCTGCCAGTCACAGAGCAGCCCAAACATGCATGTAATGTCTGTGCTCACTGTCTGTCCTCACACTCCCATCATCATCTCCAGCTCAGCAGAGTGCCGAGGGTTGATCCAGACCACGAAGGTGGACTGGCACCCTGCCTGCTACCCCAGCTCCATGGCAGCTTTCCTGGAGTAACACCTCCACTGACAGACACAGAGATTCAGTGTGTATCTGGGGCTCAGGCATCTCCAGATTGACTCAGCAAGGACTGGCAGGGTGACCAAGCTGGAGCCATGTGCCTGCACACCCAGCACAGTGTCCTCCCATGCAGGGGCACTGGCCAGCCCATCTTGGTTAGCCCAAGGCTGCCTAGATTGTTGTGCTGAGCTTTCCTACCTCCCTGCCATCCACACCTTCCCTTTAAATGGGAACTGTTATGTAGCTCCCAAGTACTAACTGGGGTGCCTGTCCTTCCCACACAGATCAGATCCCCTCTTCCCGTGCTGGAGGTGCCACCCATACCAGGAAGGGCCAGCCACTGTGCCATAACAGCTGTAGCCTTCTCCTGCAGCTTTTCCTCTGGCACCAGCTCATCCACAATGCCAAACTTGAGGGCCTCAGGTGCAGGGTACAGGGAGCCCAGCTGGAGGGAGCGCTCAGCAACTCGCTGTCCCACAACGTTCACAAATGTGTCCTTAAACCTAGAGAAGATGGGAGGCAAAGCCACGGTCAGGGAAATGAACACCCAGCAGCAGCTGCACTGACACTGAAGCTAAAAGCATGCTTGGTCTCACTCCCCAGGCTACAGGCTCAGCCACGCTGTGCAAAGTCAGGCGAGCAGAGTAATTTTTGGTTCTACCAAAGTTCCCCCTCCTCTCCATGACAGCTGCTCTATTTACCCTCAGTGCCATGTTCTTAGGGCAAGCAAGGGCCTTTGTCTTAAAATATTGGTGTCCCTAAGCTTTCAGAAATCTCCACAGTTATGGGATTTTGCAGGTACACAGCATGTGTCCAGAGAAAAGCATATTCCCAGACTGAGCCTGACAGGAGATCTGCCAGTGCTCGTTTCAGAGTTGACTGCAGACTCAGAGCTGAGGACCTCACTGGTGAAGAATGTGAGGATTCTGCAGCCTGAAAGCTTTTCAGATACCTACAGAATAGGAGAGAGAAATGAGGTGCTCTCTGTCTCCTGCAGCTGCAGCTACCTGATCACTGACACATAAAACTACTTCTCAGTGGCCAATTAAACTGATCCATAAACTCCTTGAAGATGAATTCTTTTTAGAGACCAAGGCATAACACAAAGCGGAAGACACCGGCTTACCAGAAGGGAGCCACAATGCCCAGCTGGGCTTCATTCAGGCCAATGGTGTATTTGGGGTTCTCTGCCATGATCCTATAGTCGCACGACAAGGCAACAAGACAGCCTCCCGCCGGGCTGGACCCCTGGCATTGAGAAGGAAGGAGTCTAGGTCATGGTTACAAACACTGACAAAATAGATATTCCCTAAGTCTCCGATTACCTCATTTGAAACAGCCCTAAGGAAGATTTCTGATAGGTTTACCCTTTCATTTTTCAATGCTCTTTGTGGCATTGAAAATCGATCTCTAGTTAATTGATCCATGTTACTCAGGTCACAAATCCCACAGTGGATATTTGCTACAGCATTTTCTTGTAACTGTACTGAGTTACTTTAACTGAGTCTTTAACACTAGTTGAGTTTGTAACCCTAAATGTCACAGAAACAGTTCTGTTTAGGGGCTTTGTAACACCTTCTGTCTATAAAACCTCCATTTGTGACTATCTTTGCCACAGCTCAGTGCTCGGTGCACAGGATGCGCGTGTGAAGCCATCAGAGATCCCGCTGCCTTCAAAGACAGTCTACAGGCAGACACAGAACCAGGAGCTGCCAAAGCAGCACTGCACTGAAACATGAAAACAAGACACCGAGCAGGTCACAACCCATCTACAGACACGGAGATTCAGACAGCACTTCCCTGCTAGCCACGAGCTACAACCCAGGGCTTACGACAAACTGTGCTGCCCGAAGCATTGCTGCCCACAGGACTGAGGACACTTGCACACTGCATGGCTCCCTCCCACCTCCTCCCCTCCAGCGAAGCAGTGCAGCAAGCAAGGAATTGGGAAACTCCTACAGGTCCCATCAATGAGAAAGCTGCCAGTGGGCACGTGACAGGCACCCTTTGGACTGCTCCCACACCAACCACTCAGCTTCTCTGGTACTCGTCTGCTACAGGTGCCCCTCTGGGCTCTACCACTGGCCTAAGCCCTCCTCCTGGTCCTCCAGCAGAGCTCCTGGGGCAGGGTATGGCTCCTGCTGCACAAAACACTGCCAAGGGGACCTCAGCCCCCATTGGCAGAACATGAGTGCCATGCAAGCTCTCCGTGCAGCCGAAACGCTGCCATACCCCAGAGCACCTGCAGCTTCCCACGCTTTCATGCCTTCCCACACCCCAACGCGCTGACCAACAGACATGAAACTTTGCCCAGACATCCCAACAAATACATCCCTGTGCTTGTTTCAGCACTGGCAAGCCTGATGTTTAAGCTGTCCCTGCCCATGTGGTGCAAACAAGACAGACCACGCAAGGTGACTGGGAAGGTGGACCTAAAGGACATACATTGATCACAGCGAGTGTCACCATGTTGGAGCTGTACAGCCGGAGCCACATCTCCTGCACAGCTCTCCAGAACTCAGCGTAGTGCTCCATGCTCTTCCCACACATCTCGGTGATGTCCAGGCCAGATGAGAAGATTTTGGGGATGGCCTGGAATCAGGAAAATGCAAGCATCACTCAGAGTCACTGCTCAGGGATGACCCTCCAGCCCTCTAATGCACTCAGCCTGCAGCCTGAGGAAAGGGAAAGGATTAATTAAATATGACATAAACCAGGGTCTTTTGGGGTTCTGAAACAATCTCCTCAGTGCTCCCACAGCTTGGATCATCCCAACATCATGGCCTGCAAGGCTGGAACTCTTTGCTTGCAGCATTTCTCATTATCAGGATCCCTGTGCTGGTACATCAGTCATGCAGCACAAAACTTATTCTGTCCCATTCCCAGGCACCCACTTTGTATACACATCACATCTGAAAATAAACACTAGCATCTCCTAGCAGCTCCCTCTGGACAGTTCAAGAGATCTCCCAGAAAGCCAACCGTATCCTGGGCTGTATCAAAATAAGTATGACCAGCAGGTCAAAGGAGGTGATCCTGCCCCTCTACTCTGCTCTTGTGAGACCTCACTTGGAGTATTGTGTGCAGTTCTGGTGTCCTCAACATAAAGAACATGGAGCTGTTGGAGCAAGTCCAGAGGAGGGCTACGGGGATGATAAGAGGACTGGAGCACCTCCCGTATGAAGACAGGCTGAGAAAGTTGGGGCTGTTCAGCCTGGAAAAGAGAAGGCTGCGTGGAGACCTCATAGCAGCCTTCCAGTATCTGAAGGGGGCCTACAAGGATGCTGCGGAGGGACTCTTCATTAGGGACTCTAGTGGTAGGACAAGGGGTAATGGCTTCAAACTTAAACAGGGGAAGTTTAGGTTAGATATAAGGAAGAAGTTCTTCACAGTGAGGGTGGTGAGGCACTGGAATAGGTTGCCCAAGGAAGTTGTGAATGCTCCAACCCTGGAGGAGTTCAAGGCCAGGCTGGACAGAGCCTTGGGCGACATAGTTTAGTGTGTGGTGTCCCTGCTCATGGAGGGGGGTTGGAACTAGATGATCTTAAGGTCCTTTCCAACCCTAACTATTCTATGATTCTATGATCTCAAGGGATGTGCCAGCTTTGCAGATAAGCAGCTTTGATTGTAATGACAAATTACAAGACTTGTTTGCTGTAATTCTGCTAGAAAAGGGCACAGAAGAAAAGAGCACAGCACTTCCAAGAACCCCTTCCCCTCCTTCCGAAGGGGATCAAAGCTGCCTCCCGGCCCTTCTGTGCCAGTGACCATGAATCCAAGAAACCAAACACAAGGAAGGGAGCAGAATCCACTGCTTGCACATTAGATCCAGCTCAGGACAACACGTACGGATGTTATGACGACGCCCCGGCAGGCCCGGTCATTCTCTAGCTTCTCCAGGCTTATACAGAACTCGGTGAGGAAGTCCAGGCTGAGGCTATTGACTGGGGGGCTCTTGAACTTCATTGTGGCAACGCCTATGCCATAGTAAACACAGAGACATCAGAACCCCCCAACACGGCAGCTTGCAGTGCATTGCTCAAGACAGTTTCACCCGCCTCCATGCTTCCCTTCTCACCCAGATTGTGCCTTCCCACTCATGGCTCTTCAAAAAGCCCTCAGAGCATTGTGGCCAAGAGCAGGCCAGACCTGTCCGCAAGCCCTGCTCACTGAGCCAGAGGTGAACCTGGAGCATGGACAAGCACCCCCTGCATCCCAAAGGCCAGCCACCTTTGGAGTCACACTGCCCAGCAGTTCCCTTCTCTCTGAGCTCACAGGATAAGGTTTAGCCTCCAGCTGCTATCACAGCAAACATCCCATGCCCGGGAGGATCACACACCTTTCCCCCCCTGCCAGCAGCACTGCCACCATGGCCAGCACTGCAGGAAGGGCTCTGAGCCCTTTTCTCCTCCCAAACAGCACTACCCTCCACAAAAGGTCCTGGAGTGCTTGGTCTGGGTGCTGCGGCCATGCCCAGGCTGTTGACAGTGTGAGGATGCACCCAGGGCCCTGGCAGGCGAACGCAGGCTCTGGGAAACCTCAGGAAGAGGCACCCTTTGTTTGGTGCAGGAACGTGGTCCCATGACAGCTATTCCTGGCAGGCAGGACACAGCAATCCCAACAGCTGCTCCCTGGAGGAGCACCTGCCACTCTACCCTGTCTCCAAAGCCCAGACCCCGCAGAGGGGTCGATGCACAGGCTGGGGACAGGACACGGGGTGACAGCTAGGGTTTGCCTGTGGCACCCAAGCAGCACCCAGCCACCTGATGTGACCACGACTGGTGACACTCTCGTCCTGAAACGCATCTCTCCGTGGGTTCTAAGCAGCTGAAGCTGTAACATGTGGGGCTTCGGTGGTTTTCCATGCCCAGGGCCACACATGCCATGGGGCAGGCATGGCAGGGGCCCAGCCTGTGTCCCACAACTCCCCATATGTTGAGGGTGACACCGCAGAGGCGCCACGGGCTGCACCTGAGCTCTCATTCACGTCCACCTGAATCTTCTTGTTGCTGAAGGCACGGCATGAGGCGAGCGGGAGGCCGGGGGGCTGCCGGGCAGCTCTGCCCCACACCAGCAGCCGGCGGCACAGCGGCAGCACACCTGGAGGGACAGAAACAGATAGGGCCGGGCAGGGCACAGCCCCACGGGGTGGGACGGAGGGACATCCCGACCCACCGAGGGACGACACGCGGACACCCCGACCCAAGGCGCGGGACACCCTGACCCACCG